TTAGCATCACCCTTACTGTCTTCTCTCTGGTTTGAGCTGCTGCAAGCTCTTGTCCAACACCAAGAATGTGGTCCAGCATTTAACAATGTAAAAAATGACCCTTTGCTCTGCAAAACAAGCTAATGGCACTCCTTGAAGCCATGCCAAGAAGGCATAGGCAGAGAATTGGGATTGAGGAGAGGTTAAATCCCTTAATACAGTGAGAAAGGGTAGGGGGAGGCTGTCCGGACAATATTTAGTGCTTTCTTACTGCAGTAGAGCTGTTGCAACTGTCAGCACCCAACTCACACAAGACAGCAGCAGAGCAAGGCCTGCACGAGGGTGTGTGTGTGCAAAAGGCACCCCTCAGTCCTCCAAGTAAGCGTGAGGTTGCCCCAGCCTCCTTCTCCCCCATGCTCCGGCCAGCCAAGGGAAGGCAAGAGCAGTAGGTTGCCCCAGCCTCCCATACCTGTGCTCCAGCCAGCCAGAGGAAGGTTGGGGCTGATTTCCTCTCCCCCAGAAGCAGGGGCAGAGGTAGGGCTGGAATGCACTGCCAAGGCAGGACCGCCATCAGCCCCTCCCACAGCTCACCTCACCCACAGAAATTCCTGCTTATAAGCCTGCACTGGAGGGCTGCATTCAAAGGACTATAGCTACTCAACTTTGGAAGCCCTGAGGGCCACAATAATACTCACAGCACATGCGGAGGGCTGTAACTTAAGCGTGGTTGCATATACATGTAAATATATATGCAAATAGCTTCTTTCACACTGACAGGTATGAATACAGAGCACTTCCCAATGCCCTGGCACTCCTCGCACCTCCTCCCTGCACGCTGATGCCCTGTACCCTTCTTTTCCAGCCAGCCCATCCACTTGCGTCTTTCAATGTTCACCCCACCGGGAGGCCTCACTGTTGTGGAGCAAGTTCCCAGTGGAGGCCATGTTCAAAGGATCCCACCCACAGGCTGAATGTTGAGCCCCATGTAAACCCAAACCCAAACCGCACCACGGGCCGCAAAAGGGCCACGTGTTGAGTAGCCCTGGACTACAGTGTCAGTGCAGGATATTATCTAAGGAAGGAATTGAGTGATTGCCATAGTCAGTGTTGACATTCAAAGAACCTGTCCTTCTGAATGAACCTCAGATCAAGCCTATTCCAACTAGTCTTTGAGGGAAGCTAATGAACCAGATCCTCTTTGTAAAAGAGAAAGTGAACTCAAACCACACTCTTCATCTCTGAAAGAGTCTTACATTTATACACAAATATGCACTCACCCAGAGGAGCAGGAAACCAAGATTTTGGTAATCTCTTTATGAAGATAAGCAGCTATTGGTAAAAATAGCCTGACACAAATTATAGCCTGAGTAGTGGGCAAGCATATAGCCATAAACAATCTGCTAAGGGCATCTATCAGGGAGCATGTGTGCGCACAAGGCTGAAATAAAGCCAATATGTCCAATACATTGGGGGAATTTGTTCAAACAGTTAATCTACATGAGAAGACACCAGGAATGCTGCTACCAATGACGTGGCACCAGGCTCTCTTTCAGCATACGTTGTGTGTCAATTCACCAGAGGACAGCATCAGCTTGCAAACTCAATGCTCCAAAATTTCAGAGGTTTTTTATTGTTATTAAAAGACTGCTGCAATTCCATCTGGTGTCACAGACTGAGTTGCTTTTGGATGGGTCAGTATTCTGGGAGACTTTCAGTTCAATATCAAGTGCTGCAAGTGGATCTGGTGATTTAAATAGGCAGAAACTCTTACCTCAAAATCAGTGCTGAAACAATGCTACAACACAATTGTGGCTGGCACTGTGCTGACAGAGCCTTTCACACAGAGCAGAGACAATGAGTTCATGACCACTTGGCAGTAGAGAGGAACAAGCTTGGCAAGCTGATCAGTTGACCAGTCTAACAATCTTAATTGACCTATTAACTACTATTAAATACTGTCCAGTGTTCCAGTAAGAAGTTCCTGATGTAGGCGATGGCCTATCTTTTTGATTGCATCATGGTGCTATTCCATCTTTAAGGATAATTTGTTTTGCATTTTTCTGAATTAGAGTAACTCAGTTAATTTGTTTTTGTAGAATTAGGCATAAAAATTTAAGGCTGAGACCATAAAGTCTTTTTGCTTTTACTGTTCTATTAAGTTGCTGCTTTAAAATATTTGACCACGCAAATATCGTCAAATATCAAAAATGGTCATATACGCAGCCCTAGAACGGGTTGCTAGAGCACTACTGGGACTGCACAGAAGTGGGTTCAATTTTCTGTTCCACTACAAATTGAAAGTGGGCAAGTCTCCCTGTGCTACAATTTACATTTATAAAATGTGGTTAATAGCACTTCCCCATTTCACAGTGGTGATTTAGTTGTCAATGCATAAGATTGTGAGGTGATCAGACACAATTGTGATTGGGACCATGAGATACAAGTCATAAAAGTACCATGGGACCTTTAAGAGATATGGAAAATTTCAGCCTACTTAAAGTTCCTATTTTGGTTTAAGTTGAAATATGATTGTTAAAATGCATTGAAGGAAATTTAATTTGGGAAAAACCTGCAGTTACATACCTTAAAGGCACATACCAAAAAACTAATATATTCCATTGTATAGTATAACAAAAGTTGGTTATTGTTTGAAGGGAAGACTTTAAAAGTTTTAAAAAAACCTGCTTTAAATACATTATAGGATCATGACCATGAAAAAGGACTGTGAAAACAGAATTGTGTCTTATTTATTGTGCACTTTGTGGTAGTTTTGTCACTTCCTAAATTAAGACTGGAACACAATAGCATTAGTAGCACAGAATATCTAACCCTAAACACAATCTATGTTGCTGTTTACTAAATGTGTTACAAATTCTGAAGTTTTGTTATAAATTTATGCCCCATTTATCCACACTGAAATTCTGTATCAGTTGCATTTTTTAAGTGCAAATGTTATAATAATGGATTTCTTGTTAGTAGCGATATGTTTAACCTGTTAGCCAATTAAACAGGATTTTTACATCCCTACATGTTAGTAGCTAATTATGTCATCTGTATTAAAATAAATCTATACATCTGTTCAATGTTTTCACAAGTTACTTGCATGGTTTCTTTCCTGTTTTTAACATTCTTCTACTATAGCAAAGTGTGAAGAGTTGCAAACAAAATATTTTGTCCTTATCATGACACATAGAAATCAAAATGCTTTGCAAACATTGAGGGTGTCTAGACTACAGGGTTTTTTTTGAAAAAAGTGGCCTTTTTCAAAAAAACTTCCTGTGTCTAGACTGCTGCCGCTTTCTATCGAAAGAATGCGGCAGTATTTTCGACCGCAGAAAACCTCGTTTTATGAGGAATAGCGCCTTTTTTTTGAAACTGCTCTTTCGAAAAAAGGCACTATAATGTAAAATGTGCTTTTTTGGAAGTACTGGTTGTAGTCTAGACGCTCTTTTTCAAAAGAGGCTTTTTCAGAAGTATCTTTCGAAAAAGGCTTCCACTATCCTCAGTTTACAGATAGGAAAACTGAGGTGCATAGAATTTTTTGGCCCACATTTTCAGAAGAGGCCTCTAATTTTATATTGCTAACTTAGGACACGTAAGGCCTTGTTTGCAGAACTGATGACCATACCACTTCAATTTCAATCAATAGGAAATGCAAGTGTTCAGCACGAGGAAAGTCAAGTACAGCAGACTTCCGATAATCTGGCACCTTTGGGACCTAGGTGGTGCCAGATTATCGGATATGCCAGAGTACCGGGAGGTACTATAAGGGGGCATACTCCCAACCCAATCCTCCTCCCCTGCCCCAGAGCCAAATACCTCCCCTCCCTGCTGTAACCCAGTCCCCCTTCTCCCTCAACCTTATGTCTGGGTCCCAAGGCAGCTGCCTGTGCTCAGCGGCCAGCTGCTAGCAAGTGCAGGCTGGACACTGTGTGTGCTGGGGACCATGAGTGGAATGATGCGGGGCCACAAACGTGCATGCGGCTCACAGCGGTCCGGCCATAAGAGCAGCTGATTGGAGCACTTCTGGGTTCCAGTTGATGCCGGACTATTGGGAGTGCCGGACAACTGGATCCCGGACAATTGGAGTTTTACTGTAGTAAGTGCCCCTAAGTTGAGCACCTAAAATGGAAAGCACTGAAAAATCAGAGGTCATTCTTAGAAGTGTAGGCTCTTTTTTACTTGCTCCAAAGGCACACAAGAAGTTTGCAGAGAAGCTGGAAATAGAGTCTAAGTCTTGTGACTTCTAAGCATCTACACAAGGACCCACCTTTCTTCTCATTATATGTAATTTTGGTGGTGATGGTAACAACAACTTTAGAAGGCCCAGGCATAAGGAATTGCCTTATAACAAGCATTTTTGAGCGCTTCTTTTAAAATGGGGGAAAAAATAAGTGGTTTTCCATCACCACCTCCTAAACCAAGAAAACAAGTGCTCAGAGGTGTATACCAATGCGACTTGCCCAATTAATTGTCTTGTAAAGGGAGAAGAAGCAACCTCTTCACAAGACAGTAAGTATGTCAGTTCTACTGAGGCATTCTTATGCTACAGAGCAGGAATATATTATATGACAATAGCAGGATTTGTTTTGTTTATATACAGACATACACATTCATGTGTAGTCTCTATTAAATCTCACATAATTATTGCAAAACCGACTGTGATGATTTCAAGAAGCTAAACACATTTCACCACATTGTCACTTGAAAGACATTACTACACATTAAATCTATGCTGTACTTTCAACAGTACTTCCCTGTAGAGGTTATGTAATGTGATATTCCAATGATAGAAACACATAATAGCAGAAGAGATAGAGGATGTATTTTAAATCTCTTAACAGACTTCGTTGTGCTGTGTAGGTCGAAGGGGCTCCTAGGGTAGAATAGATGCTGCCTAGTTCCTTTCTTATGAGCACATTAATTTCACTCCAGGTAGTCTCATGATTTCACTGAAACAAAGAGCCCAACACATCCCAGAAATTAATTGAGCAAAAAATAAATGAACACAGACACAAAGGTTATAAATATATAACCGTATTTTATTTTTGAATATTAAATAGTGTTTTTAAATTACAAGCAATTTATTGAATCACACTATGCATGATAATCAATATACAGTAGAAATATTACAATTTAAAAATGTACACAATTGCAAGATGAATTGACCTGAAATTTCATTAACTATGATGTATTGCCAAAAACCTCATACCTGTATTAAATTACAATAGGAAAACCTCATATCTATGATTTTGTTACATTGCTCCTCATTTACAAATAGAATTAAACATTGTATATACACATCAGTACCATTTATCATTAAGTTACAGCTACGACTGTGCAAGTTCAAACAATTTCATAAACAACTAATAATTTTAAGTCATTCAAGTTTATCTGAAAAACAGGCTGCTGGTATCACAAATACTTATTTTCAATATATTTATATGCTCTTTTACTCTAGATTTTTTCATATCAAAGACTTGAGAACCAAAACTTATTAATATTTAAGGATATTTTTGTATGACTTAAAGCTGATGTATTTTTGTACACTCCATTCTTATTTTAAGGCTATTTCTTATAAGGCTAATATACTTTGATTCCACCTTTCACTAAATCCACCAAATAGCCATGTCACTAACATCTGACTTACCACTGAAACTTTAGCGTAGTGCTTAAAAGATAAAAACACAAGTATTTCCCTACCAATCAGCCCCTCATGAAAAACGATTCAATACTAAATATTAACATACTACTTAAAATACTGATAAAAGAAAGAGGCTTAATGGCTTTCATTAGTGCATCACCAAGAATATGAAAAAAAGTGTTTAACCTGTCCATTTCCATGGAAATGGCAGTTGACATGTACAACATATTGCTAAAGATGAGGGACTAGGGAAGGAACAGGTGTTTCAAATTTAAAACAAAACAAAAACCAGATTTCGCGCTTTACTGGCCTCTCGCTGCACGACCGAGTGAAACTTAATCATCGAATCATTTTAAAATCACTTTATCAGCTTCCATTTTAGGCTGTAAATGGGATTTTTTGTAAGATATTTAAGTAGCCAAATTAAGCTAATGCCTTTTAACATCTAAATAAATTATCAAGATCTTCTAACACAGAAGAAACTAAAATGGAATCAACCCTCATCATAAACCATTGAAAAAAAACAGCTGTAAGTATTTCTAAAATTGAAATCTCTTGGGTTATTAGTGCAAGAGTTTACAGAATTTAACATTTGGCCCCTTCGTCAAATCACCTCAACCTGATTACATTTCAGCTACTCCTTAAATTTGCCTTCCTTGCATAATTCATTGGTAGTAGATGGTTACTTCTTGGACACTGCTAATAATTTGTAATACAATTTAACATATACTTCCAAAAACTAATTACATTTTAGAGAGTTGGATTAATGAAATTAATATCCACTGATATTAAGGAAGTGTGGCAATTCAGATATAACAATGATTTTTTTTGGTAATATGGCTAAAAAGCACATTACTGTATAGCATCCTACACACACATCCTATTTTGAGAAAAAAGTGTCCTTTTGGCAAGTCATTAGCAAACAGTCCCTTTGGACACAGGAGTAAACTTTCATAATAATTTAAGGTTTTAAGACATAGTTCTCTTAGTAAAGAGAATGGGAGTCACAAATGACTAATGCCTCCTCAACTGAGGAAAACCCTGATGTGTTCACTACAAGGTTAAATACTGCTCAGCTACACAAGATCTATTCCATAATCTGAATTTCTGAAGTTACAACAGGAACAAAAGTGAAGCTACATCTCAACATCCCATTCAGACTATATTACCTTTTATTTAACTTCAGAAATTAAAGTTCAACATCAAGAAATTCAGATTTAAGGCTGAAACCCTGTGATACCATACATGTTCCAGCACATACTGGGTAGACAATTCCACACTTTTAGGAGCAAGTAGTTTCAATCTTAATTTTGAATTTCCCTGCTTTTTTATTCATGGTAATATAAAAGTGTTACAGAAAAATACAAGGACTGATGAGGACTTTATCTGGTGAGTGTGTTTAAGGAATTTAAAAAAAAAAAATCTGTTTTACAGATCTAATAGGCTATAATGCTGCTTAGGGTGCCAAAGCCTATAGTTTATATTCTAATATGTATAAAGAGCATATGAGATGATTTAAGTCTAATAAATATGTACTTCCAGTAAATAGTGTAAAATTCTATTAAAAGTTTTTGCTGTGCATATGCAACAGCAAATTTCATGATGTTACACTGAAATACAACTCTCCCAGTGACACTCAGGTTCCCTCTGGACCTGAGCTCCTCAGATGGACAACTCAGTGCCTCAGTAATACACGGGCAACTTTAAAGCATTTTATTTCTAGAACTGATCTCTTTTCCTTGAGGGGTATGAAAGCCATTCCAGCTGCAAGGGCCAAATAAATGTTTTTTAAAAATGGATATTCTATTTTTTTGTATTCCTATCACTTAAAACCAATGTCCTATTTTAAACCAAACTGTGCATTAAATAAAACAGTAACATCAAACTGAGCTCAACAGTGAAAGTATACAGTTCTATGTGCTGCAGGTGGTTACAATTCTTAGCTTTTTGTACCTAGACCTTTTCAGCAGAAAGACTAGCCTTGTACTAAAGAAGAGTTAAACAAATATTCACACTACTAATCTGCAGATCAAAGGATTCACCACAAAGCTTCAAATGACAACTCAGCTTTTTCCAACCTGGCCCAATGTTTGCAGCTGCATTATACACATCATAGATGAAAGAACTGCTGCCCAACTGTACTTAGAAAGACAGTGAGGGTACTTGTTAGACAACTTATTTAAAAGATTAATTAAACTAGATGGATTTATGACCGAGAGAAAACTATGTTCACCTCATTAAGCTATCCATATTACATCTGAGTCAGTGCACATTTCAACCACACCAGGGAGCTCTGCTGATATTTTAATATAGGCCTGGGTGACAATGTATGAATGCCAATTTTCCGCTGGTTTTGAAGCAAGACTGTTAGCATTCTTAATTCCTCAATTGTTAATTCTAATACTCAATTGTTTTTGCATTAATTGAGATAGGAACATCTACAGGCTTCTGAATGGGAAGGAGGCCCAATCCATAGACAAAAGAAAATAATTTGGACTTCAGAATTCACAGGATGAACAAGTGAGCAACCAGGTAGGCCTGGTGGGTCCATTTTTATTAAAGTTAATGATTCTACAAGATACCCAGTTTCAATGCACACTTTCAAGGCTAAAAACCTCCCTCCCTTCCAAAACTAGGCAGTTTTAATGGAATATAGAAAGGCCATTAAATAGACTACATAGGAAGATGCTACTATAATTTAAACCAATATAATCACTTTCAGGAGTGAAAATAAAATATTCACTTCATCCAAAATGGATCCCAAAGATATTTCAGACATCCCTCCCCAAATTTCCTATGAAAGACAGGCACTCTCATAATTTGTAGTCAGCTACTACTTTAAATGGAACTGCATGCAGGATTCCAGGAATTCTCACACAACACTCAGAAATTATGTATGTTTTACAAGTGCAGTGCATAGCAAAGACTACAACAGTACAAACTGAACTGGTTAACTGGGCTAATTCAATTGGTCTTAATTTCCTTGAAAAAATTAAGATTTTGATTCTGTACAATGTTGGGGAATATGGGAAGAAAAATCCATAGTGCAATTGCAGTAAGCAAAATAACATGTAATAAGTGATATCTTTCAGAATAAATATGGCTCACTACGGATCAACTATCATTCATACAGTTTCAACAACACAGCCACCTGTTGCACAGAACAATTATACACAATTCTACAACATGTGTTATGTTCCAATAGATAACAAACTACATGAAAAAATATAAAAAGACTATGATACAATTCCATACATAAACCAGAATGTAGTGTAACTGCTTTACATGTTTGTTACAAATAATTATCTGAATATTTCAAGTACTTGAAAAAGAGCGGCAGATTCAATGAAAAGCAAATTGCATTGATTTAAAAACAATACATTACAAAGTTAAATACACATTCAAATTAATGTCCTGATTTATCATTGCTTTTCAGTGTTTATTTTAAGTCTTCAAATTTCTTGATTACCTGTATTTTACTCCAGCAGATCCACATAGGTTTTTGAGTTTATCAAACGTTAGTCAAGAATGCGGTATGTACCACATATGTAATTCCAGTGAGAAAAAACTAACTCATACTAATCTTTTTCTCCATCTTCACTACTACCTATTAGGGAAAGTCAGAAGACAAAGGTAAGATACTTGCAAATTTTCTTTATTATTTAAAAATATATTAAGAATTTACTGTGTAAGTCTTCCCTTAAGTCTTTGCTACACTTTTCCTAGAATGTAACATTCTGGTTTCGGCTACCCTAATGTTGAACATATGGAACCCACAGACAGAAGGACACTATTTAGGTCACCTGAGAAAGTGATGTAAGACCTCTAAAACAACATCTCTTATCAAGAAGTTATTAAGCAGCAATGCAAATAAAACTAACATTTTTATAAAAAACAAGAGCCAGAGAACTTCAAAGTCTAATCCTATTTATTTTTAATCTCTTGGTAAATTATATTTATAATGATACTTTAAATTATTTTCAAGTCTATCCCTATTTTTATTCTATCATTTTTTTCCTGAGGCATTTTATTACTTAAATGTACAGAGGAGCACTTTAATAGAGGCAAGAATATAAAGGAAATTACTCAGTAAAGACATCAGTACCTAAACATTACCGTACACGGGCCTATTGCTAAACCCTCAAACTTTAAAGAACCCACAAACCTTAGCAGAATATCAGGGACATACTTCCTACAAGCAACTAGATAGTAAAACAAATTCAGACTACTAATTCAGCTCCTAAAAGTCCTTAACTAGTGAAACAAAAACAAAAATCAAATTATGGCCTGTGATGGGGCCATCGTAGGAAGATTCTCAGAAACTTTAGAAGCTTTAAGTTTTTGCTCTTTATGGGGGAACATGGTTTCTTCCAAAGCTCCACAGAGTGGTCACCAAGGTAGAAATCTTATTGTTTTTCCTAGAAGGAATACATTTAGTACAGTACTTTGGGAGCTAACCCAAAACTTTGGCAGTACTTGTGCACAGGTTTTCTGGAAAACATTAACAAAAACAAAATTATTTTGATGTTAAATGTTTTTACCCCAGTATGGAAGCTATTAATAAATGGCTTGTTTAAATATGAAAACCATTTAAGATATTATCAAAGGAAAAGTTACTTGGATTTATCAATACGGTAAACAAATATAGGCCTCATCACCAATATTTCTTTCACTGACATTATTTGTATTGTTTATATCTCTGCACTGTATGTTAATATAAAACTTTAACAAGTTATTGAGAACAGGCTTTATTTAAAAGCCAAAATATTACAAAAGTCAGCATAATATACACTGTTTACTTGAAGGAAACCTAAATTTACTTACCTCCCTGCTCAATATCTGAATCTGTAAGATGTGTGAGAGAAAAACTTGCAATGTTTGCCGGAGTAATAGAGAACCTGGAATAAGGTGATGAATGTGACCAGTTTTGTTCAAGACTCCGGGATGGTGGAGGGGGTGAAAAGTACTTAGAATTGTGAAGAGGTGGCTTAGAACTAATGAGATTATTTGCTGACTTAGCTATAAAAGAGGGTTCTGGAGAAGAGAAATCATCATCCCATTCAAAAGCTCCACCTAGAATAAACAATCAGAATTGATCAGGCTGTATGTAATTTAAGGCAGTAAGTATAAAGGAATAAGTGAAAAACTGTATTGATCTGAAGAATACTACTAGGTGTATCACAGTCCAACTCTATAAAAGCAAATGCTAATCAGCAGATGAAATATACTTAAACAAGTTGTGTATCTTAGGGAATCATTGGGACTACAAATTAATGTTGAAAGAAATCTGAAAGCTAGAAACTTCTGGTGGTAGAATGTATGAGTCACAGGTCAGGGGCCTTAAATACCCTAACATTCTTTACCACCACATTTTTCTTTCTATCATGTCAACTCCAGTTTGATGTAGTGGTTGTTACTGAGAATTGCTATTGGAAAATATTGCTTGTTATTTGAGAGCAGCTAGTGAAGTCCAGCTTTCAAAGTAACAAAGCATTAATTTGCTAACTAACAGCTTTGAGATATATGCCAATATTATTGTGAAAAATTAAACAGATGGGGGATGCAATGTAGGAATTCTGATTTTTAAATAATTATTTAATACAGTTAGTTATTTTAAATACATTGATTAAGTTATGTTCCCTATGATACATTTTTGGACATATTCAGATGTTTCCAAAATTTAAGTATTTTAATATTGCCACACAAGAACGACTATAGTAGGTCAGACCAACAGTCCATCTAGTCCAGTATCTTGTCCTGCCAACAGTGGCCAGTACCAGATGCCCCAGAGGGAGGGAAACACAAGTAGTAATCCTCATGGGATCCCTCCCCTGTGGATCTCTCTCCTAGTGAAGCTTAAGAAGCTACGAACTCCCATGCTATCATCATAAAGACATGGTTTCCATGGCTAGCAGGAGCTACAATGGCAGAGTGAAATTAAGAGAAAATATTACTTAAAGCTTTATATTTTCTTCTTGATTCATTAAGGCCATTGAAGCTCCTCTGATATGACAGTAGGAACTCCCTTCAAACAGCTTCTCTGGCTTCACCAGGAGAAGAGCCACTGTGGAAACAAATTTTTAAGTAAGTATGAAGAAGTTTTACAAATGCACAAGGAAATAATAGTGGGAAAGTTAATAAATTAGATATTTATGGTTTTAAGCAGTTGCATTAGGTCACCAGGAATGGGAATATTCTGTAGGGCCAGTAAAGTTTTCCAGACTCTAATATGTATTGGGAGTAAATGTCTGAGCCCTGATAAAGAGTATCTTACACAATCAAGGCACCGAAGGCAGTGTTGTATGGCATCTTTATGAAGATGTATTATATTCCATAAAAAAAAACCAGGTTTTGTTTAAAATACACTGTTTTGTTAACCAGAAGTACCTTCTTCATCAGTAGAACTTTCTGAATTTGTAATTCTGTTCATGTAACTCAGACCGGAAGATAGGACAGGCGTGTTAGCAGAGCCTTGGTTGTTTGATTCTGCTGCACGGTTTCCCAGCTCTTTGGTTGGTGTTTCCTAAGACAACCCCCCCAAAAAAACCCACCCCACACACAACAAAACTTAGTTCAATTCCATTATTGTACATTCGTTATATATACAAACAGACACAGATGCCAGGGCTTCCAAACCAGGTAGGTATTTCTCAAGCCCACCTAGACTACATAGCCTCTCTTCAACCAAGATCATAGCCAAACTTCAATTCATATTCTATATATGTATTTGCTATGGATTACAATGCATGGTATTTCATTCAAGTTGCACTGATGAACACGACAATGTTTGAAGGAAGTGTGAATTTTTAAACTGTCTCTCCCACCTGCTGTCCTCTACTTACAGAGTCCTTAGAAAAAAGATATAGCACTGAAGCGTAAGATTTTGAGACTGACCATTTGTTGTCTTCTCTGCATGAAACTATTTAGTTAACTATTTTTCATTTTCAAAATCTATCTTTCAGTTTCATCCACCATTATTCCAATTCTATCCTTTAATACTTCTGGATGAGGGAAATTTAGTAGGCAAGGTATATGAAAAAGCTACTAGTATGTAATCAGTTAGTGAAAATGAGCAATACAAAACCAAATATTGGGAGAGATATAATTCCAAGATAGCAGGTGTTTTTTCCTCCAACAAAAGAACTGCTATTTCTTTTAATGACAGAGGCCACAGAGCAAGAGAGTCACCTCTATTTTCTACTCCAATATGCAATAACCCTTTTAATATTTTTTATCCATGTCTTCTCCTGCAAGATTTTCAAAGCTCTCTATTCATTTTAAATTACCATGCTAGTCTGTGTGGCCATAAGGTTTAAAAAAAACAAGAGTGTGTTATTGTATAAAGTGAATAAGAAAACAAACGTAACCTTGGATTTTATTAAGTAGGTCAAACATTTATATTGTGTTTGTATTGGACTAACTTGAAGAATCACATGTATCAGATTAAGAAAAAGAAGAAAATACTGAAGTTCAAATACTGAGCTACTCTACTGTGACCAAATGTAACAATTTAATTTAGCCTTATCACATACACATCTATTACCATTCTGGATGAATGAAATGCATTAAATAGCTAATCTGAAATAGTATATTTATAATAAAGATACTTGAATTGGAAATTCACTAGAATTCGGATACTAAAACTAGTTAAATATAAAAATGGCAATATTTCTACAATCAGTGTAAGAACAGTCCTGACCTGTAAAAATATTTGTTATATACATTAAAAAACAGGCCAGATTAATAAAGTGCTTGTAAAAGGTGTCAAAATGAAAGTCTTGGAAGACCATATTCTTCTGTCCAGCACAGGTGTGATTGGTCAAGCTCTCATACACTATGTAAAGCAAACTACATTCACTTTATAAATACTAATTTGCATCACTGCACTGAATTTGGGAAAGAATCTCAAAAGGTCCTTGCCGAATATGCATAAAAGGTTTGTTAATTAGATGAATGGCTAATTTTGTAAAGATTTAACAACCACAAAGTTTGCCAGTATATCTTCTTCAATTGGGGCTTTACAATTTTGATAATTTTCTTTTTAAAAATAAAAATATCTAATTTCTGGAATCAATGCTTAGTAATTAAGAGGTCAAAATACCTGATCAAACAGATAGACTGTGACATCATCAAAGAATGTTACTGCCTTTTTCTCGCTTTTCCAATACTCAGAGGGCCGATCATGTTTAAGAGACTTCGGAAGTTTCAGCAGGCTTCTCAGATGCTTTCCATCATCTTTATCAGAAACAATCACAGGCACTTGATGTACAGTTTCATCTTCACTGTCTGAGCTAAGACTACACATATGGAAAGTTCTCATATCATCCTCAGAATCATCACTGTTTTCATCTTCTTCATCTGCATCATCTCCGTCCTCTGATGAATCTAGCATTCCAGAAACATTAAGTTTACCAAGGTATTTTCCTTCAATATCTGGCTCTTTCAGTTTAGGTCCTTCAATGTGGCACAAGGGTTTTTCAACATCAGTTGAAACTGAAGGATTGTGTATGTTATGAGTAGACTTTAAGTCTCTGCATGGAAGAAATTCTGAAGTATTAGTGCCAACACAAGAAACATTTCTGCGAAATTCCTCATGTAGTTTAATTTCACCCCCATTGTTTTGTTCCAAATTCACTGCAAATATCAGATTTTCTTTAGTCCAATTGTCAGGAGACACCTGCATCTTTACATATGTCTGCTCTCTCCCCAATTTATCATATAATTCTAATTGTGAGCCTACATTACCCGGGTCCTGGTAATCCTCTATTTGATTATGCTTTGATTGTATATCTTCAAAACAATAATAATCTTCAGCTTTATTCTTTTCTGTGCTAGAAGATGTACTACAAGTATCTACTGATAGTACTGTGGATTCTGCTGATTTGTTTACAATCTCTTCTGTTTTTTTGTCAAACTCAGAATCATTATCAGAAAAATAAGCAGAGTCTCTATAAGAGTTCTGATTTCTATTAGCAAAATTTGTTGTGGTTATTTCAAAGTTATTATTGCTATTTACTGAATCTGAGCAAGCTGTTTCTGCAGAAACAATGACTACTGGATTGGCTGACAAATCACCCGCACTCCTATCACCATCAACACGTAGTGCAGGATCTACGTTAGATGCATCAACAGAAAGATGGGAAGACCATTCTGGAGACTCCAGATTTTCAGTTTCATAGCCACTATCAGCAGGTTTATCAGGTGGCAAAAGTTTCTGGGGACTCTGAGCCTCTAAGGACTCTAATACCTCATTCACATCTAATGAATCCACAGAGTCTGGTGTTTTTATGGAATGCTCCACAGTCTGTGAAAGAGATGATGAGCTGTCTTCCAACAGATGATCTTGACTTGCACAGTTTGATGAAATGTCAGATATTAAAGTCACTTGTTTAGAAGCATCACTATATTTAAGATTATATGAAGTTTCCTTATTGTTCTCCAGTAAACCCCCATCTAATACAGAAGACATGTTCTGCAAATCACAGTTCATAGGTTCCTTACTAGTATTTCCTCTCTCTATACCAAGGTTTCTATCCAAAGTAATACCATAATTAACAAGTATTTCATCTTTTATCTGTTCTGCAGACTCTTTAGTTTCAAGTGTGACACCCAAGTTTCCAAAACTTTTGGCAGTACTAGACAGGATTTCAATGGGGGCATCTTCAGTGCCTTGCTCCTTTCCTTGACAGAGACCATCATTAATACTGTAGGATGAATTTTTATCCACTCCTTCAAATAAAAATGTATCACTGCCTTTTATTATGGGGAGGTTCTGATGTTTATCCTGTGACTTCTCATCTATTATGGGTGAAGAAGAGGGCACCTGCGTTTCTGCAAGAGACTGAAGGAGAAAATTCGCATCTTCATCTGCAGGTACATAGAAAATGTGATCTTTGCTCTCAGCTTTTAAATTATCATGCAATAAAGAAAAGTCTGGTGTATTTTTATCCAGTTTTAGCTCAATGTCAAGAGAGATCCTATCTGATGTTTCTGATAAATTTTTAAAATCCATTTTTTCTGATTTTGGTCTGATGTCATAATTGGTATCTTTGTTAGTCACTAGTCCCTTTAATAAATTCTTCTCTTGAAGAAACAGAAAGTTATTGGAGAGTTCTTCTGCAGATAGCAGGCTAAAATCAGATTCTCTAATATTTTCATATAAGGAACCAGCCTCATTTTCAGAAACATGATTAGGACTGTCCTTATCAGGATAAATGATTGCTTTTGATACCTCTAAACTTGAACTTAAAGCTGTTGGCATAAATTCAACATGAATATCATTTAGTTCAGTTAAGTCAAATATATTTCGGTTATTTGTCAATTCCTCTGCTCTGTCAATATCTCTGAATATATTCTGGAAAGGGCTTTCAGGACCACTAGTAACATGTAAAGCCTCATCTTTAGGATCTCTGTTATAGTGGAAAAATTCCTCATCTGTGCTGGATTCTTCAGCATTAAAATCCCTGGGAACTATGAAAAGAGATTTTTTCTCCTGTACAACTTCTTGATGATCAACTTCTGTTGTGAGCACAGCTGACTGATTATCAAAATTCATGCTATTGCCCACACCTTTTTCCTCTAACTGGATATAGTAATCACTTCCAAGAGATCGCTTGTGAGCATCAAAAACGGGAAGTACCCCAGGTATATTAAGTGATGCTTCTTGACCACTTTCCTCCTTTGCTCCAGACTGTTGTTCTGAAAGTGGCCTTTCAAAAACCTCAACTGGAAAGAAAATGTTTGTGTATGTCATTGCTTCATCAGCATTCATCTGACCACATTCATCAAAATGATCGTGCTTAGCTTCCTCCCAGACATATTCAAAGCTGAGTCCTTGACTTGTTTCAGTTACAGTGAGTACTTCTTCCATTTCACGGCCAAGGCGATCCCCTGTGAAATGATCTAAGATTGGAAATGCAGAATTATTTGATTCTCTATTGGATATATTTGGCTTAAGAGCATTCCACTGCTGTTCAAAATCTATCTCAGAATCTCTTTGGCTTTGCATGCGGAGATATGTTAAAAGTTTGTGTACTTCCTCTGCTGTTGGTCTTTTATCTGGAGGTAGCCAGCAGAACTGTAGAATTTCATACCTGTGATGAAGAAAAGGATATTTTCAGCAGTTACCATATATAAAAATAATTGTATTCCCCTTCAATTCACTGCATGGACAGGCTACACTTCAGTTGGTTACTTTACATCAAGCAATTAAACTCAAGAGGTTTCCTTTTGTATTCATGTATTTTGCAGAAAATATTTTCCTTATCTGTTGCAATTCCTTTTCCAGAAATATACAAACATCTCTAAAAATCACTTTTCCAGAAATATACAAATATGCAGCTCTTTTGACTTATTTGATAGTATAAAAATTACAGCATTTGAGAAACCTCTAACAATTCAGAGTTGCTTTTTAAATAGTCTAAAAAGAAAATTACCATCTATCAGAATATGGCTGTTCCAGATGTGGCTTAGAAAGTTTAACAAGTTTCTCTTTTATGACTTGGGTTAGAACTTCTTTGTCAGAAAAGTGTGAATAAGGCTGAGCAGCATTGTCAAAGAGCTCCCACAATGTTACACCCAGTGACCTGAAAGAGAGACATGAGTTTTCTATTAAACATTTTTTTATTATTTGTATTAAAGTACTATATAGTGGGCCCTCTTGTGCTAGATTCCCATAAAAGATTAAAATCAAGAAAGGTTTTGTTTTATCTGATGCATAGAGCATCTAGATAACTTTACAGATGCTAGCTTTTAGCAAACCATCCTCTACTCAAGAAGCGTAAAATAGGCATGTGTATAGGACAGCTCCAATTCAGCCTGCTCATCACAAATTAAAATGTCTATGCAACATGAGGAGGAGTGTCACTGTAACAATGATTTTTTATTAATTCCCATGATGGTGAAAAGATCAGCTGATGCCACTGAGTTGCATTAAACAAGTTGGTTTCAAGTGGAAAAGGCAGCATTTCTTGCTCAGCTGCATAAAAATAAGTGTTGCAAAAGAAGTCAAAATGGGTTAAGGCAAAAGCAAATAAATATAGTGATTCCTTAACCCTCATCTATCTAAAAGGTCTATGCAGAGCATTTTATCCATTACAATATGAGGAACTGTCACGCTAGCTAACCTGCCTTCATCCCCATCTTTATAAAAGAACCAAAACCCAGAAACACTGAAATCCTAAGTAATATTAAGATTTGATGTTTATCTAAAAAATACCTGATCTAACCTATATAGTGCACAGAAAAGCAACTAGAGTTTCATTTGGAATGCATAAAGTTTAACTGCATGAACTCATAGTACCACAATGGCTTATCTGAGGATCTGGTACGTAAGGTAAACATATATTACAAACTGAGGCTTTAAGTCACTACTGTCCTAGGCCACCTGCTTTCTGGTTAATGCAATAAAAAGGAAATCAAATTATTCTACAGGTTGAACCTCTCTAGTCTGGCATCTTTGGGACCTAACCAACTCCAAACCAGAGAATTTGCCAAAACATGGGAGGTCAATATTGTGTAGCAGCATTATCAACAAACGCTTTCACTGCTTACTGGGCTTTAAGAAGACATTTAGGGATAAATTAGAGCTAAACAACAGCACAGAACACAGAGCCAATACTGGTGGCTGTAAACAAATTTTATGTGACTTGGTAACGCCCGTCATAAGTGGGCATTCAGTTAACTAAAATCATGCCACACCACAGATGTTGTCGGACCAGAGAGTGCTGGATTAGAAATCAATGAAATTTATTCTACTGTCTAGGTTCAATAAAAATTAGGATTTCAGGTAATGTCTTGACTCGTGGGCCAAAATCCCCTTTTCAAAGTAATTTAAAAGTCTAAATGTCATAGAAAGAAATTAAACAACTTGGGTGATTTTGAAAATTTTACCCACAGCTTAGATTCTTTGCAGACCAATCAATGGCAACAACCAGTGTAAATGGGAGCAAGTGAATCTATTTAACTTCAGTTCTTTGAAATGAATGGTATATTGTGGAACACAAACGTTAAAGCTCTACTGTAGTGTATTGTGCCAAGGTAACATTACCCTGTTACCTAACATGTTGGCCATAAGTATCAAAACTTTCTACATTATCTATGACAATTACCTTAGTGACCAAATCATTTGTTGTTCCACTTATTAACTGCTGGCAAATGTTTGCCTTGTACACAAGCAATTATTTCTTTTACAACTGAATGTAAAAACCTAGTCTGTTAAACATATTTCCATAATTTTATTTTGAAGTTATAACTGCTTAACAGTAAATTTAGAGTGTTAAGTGTAATTTCAAGTCAATAATAGAAATTAATCTGAAAAATTCCTTCAAAACAAAGACATCAGAATATTAAATTTAGCACATCAAGCCAACAGTCCATTTTGGTGCATTCTTTACAATGAAAATACATTGATTAATAATTGTATATTTTATAGTGAAAAACGTATGAACTCCAATTCTTTCAACTGTTTAAGTTTACTACATACCATATGTTACTATACTTGGTTGGCTCTGCTGTTAACAATCTATCTTGAAAGCTTGTTACTAGCTCAGGTGCAATCCATCGAAGAGGAACAAACTTCTTCTCCTCTGTCTCAACATAATCCTCCTAGGTATGACAAAAAGAAAACCAAAATAAGAGTGAATCTAAGGTTAAAATAATAGAATCATAGGATTGGAAGAGACCAATGCTTTAGAGATGCTCCAAGGTTTGTTTTTTAGTTAATCTCCCATTTATCTTAATTTTCACTCACTATTAGGTTCTTTCTTTCAGATACAGGTTGGACCTTCCCATTCTGGCACCCTTGAGTCCTGAAGGAGAGAATTCACTATACCAGTTTACTGCCTGCAGCTGGCAGGCTATTGCTCCAGCATGCACCTTGCCTCCACTTCCACCCCTTTCCCCACCCTGGCTGGACTGTTTGCCCAACTACTACCCGCTCCCTTACCAGCCCTGCTTGCCACCAGGCTGTGTCCTCATCCCTGCACCATGACTGGGTTGCTGACCCTATTGCCCCTGGCTGACCCTCCAGACATTAGACTCCCAGGCTCTTTGGTCCAGATGCATCCATGGTCCTACTGGATGTTGCTGGACCCGAGAGTGCTGGTTTTCAGAGGTGCAACCTGTATTTTTTTTCCCCTTCAGCAGAAGGGCATGTGCATGTTCTCTGAAACACCTTAAATGCTTCTATGAATGATTACACAGAGAATAAATGGTCTCAGCATCCTTCTGCCATAAAAAGTTACCTTAATTCTCTGTAGAGCATAGAGGTGCCTATTGAACAAGAATATCTTCTGTGAGTGTTTATCAAAGTTCAAGCATTTTGTACTGAGAACCATTCTCAGTATATTAAAAATATTTAGAAATAGTTCAGCAGCTAAAATACTTCGAAGATTGGCTAAGAAAGAAAATGGGATTACAGTTGACACTGCCCTCTTTTATTCAGTTTGTGGAGTACAGTAATTCCTCATTTAACATGTGCCCACTTAACACATTTTCACAATAGCACAATTTTTTTTAGGGAACGTTTTTTGAATCGCACGACCGTCCCCAGATTAACATGATTTCCCCAGCTGGACCGTTGCCGGCGGCTGCACGGGGCCTCCCCCGCCTCCCTACAAAACGGTTGAGGGTTCACCGCTCGCTGTGCCGTTCCCACTGACTCCCCCTCTCCTCTGCTCCCACTTTCAGGCCGGCAGCTGGGTTTCCCCAGCTGGCCCGTCACCAGCAGCTGTGCAGGGCTTTCCCCACCTCCCTGCAAAGCGGTGGATGGTTCGCCGTTCGCCACGCCGTTCCCCAGCAACCCCCCCTTGCCGGACGCAGTGTGGGTCCCGGCAGACCCGTCACAAGGGCATACTTCCAACCCAATCTCCTCTCCCGTCTCCTCCCTTTCCCTTCCCCAGAGCCAAACACTTCCCCTCCCTGCTGTAACCCAGTCACCTTTCTCCCCCAACCTTATGTCCCGATTCCAACAGACACCACCACTTGAAATGCAACTCTCAACTTTTCCATTATTTTCAGTGGGAAAATTGACCCTGCATAACATGTTTTCACTTAACACAATCATTTTCTGAAACATATCTATAGTGTTAAATGAGGAATTAATGTATAATATTTAGAATTAATATGAGATGTAATTAACACTTTCATTTCAAACAATATTTTAAACTGATCAACAATATGTTTGATCTTTACTTTACATTTTAATTCATATCTTGTTTAACTTCTACATCATCTCCTGCATTCTTTTATTTTAGGTCTCTTGTACAATGAGGCATGCAAGCTTAAATGGTAACTGGAAGTTCTGTTAAATGTGTGGGGAGATGAGGCTAAAATCAGGTTAGTCATGTTCTCTCATCAGTTCTCTAGTAAGCAATGTCACCGCTAACAATTCAGTTAAATGTTATACATCCTGTACTTACATGAGAACCAATCTAATTTGTAAAGCACCTGATCCAAAACATAACCCCATAAAAGCAGTCATTTTATATTATACTGGTTTGTAATATTTTAATTTTAAGATGCTCTGAATCTCTTTAAAACTGATTAGGCAAAGAAAACACATATGTTGACTTACCTTATATCTACTGAATCCTATTCCATAATCTCCTACTTTTACGTTTAAATCAGATGTAAGAAAGCAATTCCGTAAGGCTAAATCACTAGAAAACAAATAGTGCAATAATGAGAGCAAAAACAAGACAAATGGATATTCAATATTAGTTTGAGAGAAAAATCAATAATGTGGCTAATGTAATGAAATTCAATTCAGCATCAACCTAGATTAGAGCTTGAAGACCAATCATGATGTTAAATAAGCAAAATTCTACAGAAAATGCAATCACAAAAAGTTTATTTACATGCTGTTTTTCAATACTGTTCTTGTTTATATTTTCAGTATCACACAAGCCAAAAACAAATCACATTATGTTTCACTAGAACAGCGGAGATCATTTATGCTTCTGTCGTCCTCTTTTCTGGAGGTCTAAATATAACAATGAATATACTAAGAGACTATCCCTCCCTCTTTATAAAGGTAAGATATTAATATAATTTTTAGATTAGATTTACTTTTATGATACTTGGGGCTACAAATAACCCCTCCTTATGCCAGTCCACCTCACTATATCTTATGAAACATTCATGAAAGGAAAGGTAGATGGTGCTATCTCCCAGTGAAAGCCATGCTAGTGCCTGCTAAGGACTCCTTCTAATGGAGGATGCTGCAGAGGGCATACTCTCAATCATCACATTCTATAACTGGGGTGGACAAAGGCCGGTGGATCCAGCCTGCAGCCGCCTTGCTGCTCCCCCTCTGCCAGACCAATAAAGAGCTGGGGACATGGGAGAATGTGAAGTCTCCTCCCTCCCCGCCAAGGGCACATGGCAACTAGAGAGAAATGCCATCTGTTTTTAATACAGCTGACCTTACTCTCTAGCCAACATGTGGCCCCCTACCCCCAGGCCCAGATTGGCCTGGAGGTAGGGGATGTGAGAAGTATTCTCCCCCTGCCAGGGGCATGCGGCATCAGAGGGAACTTCTGGCTGTTTTAAAACAGCCAGCAGCTCTCTCTAGCTTCTACACACCCCTGGCAGGGCAGGGCAGGGGGCGAGAAACTTTGCGTGCCCCCGTGACTGGCCTGGGGGTTGGGTGTGTGCGCGAGGTCTCCTCCTGCTGCAGGACCTAGAGGGAACCACCAGCTGTTTCTCTCTATGGAGAGAGGGCAAAGACTTCACACTCCCCCAACTCCAGGCCAATCAGGGTCTGTGGGTGGGGGAATACGAGAAGGCTCCTGGCTCTGCCCCTTCTGCCTAAGGCTCTGCTCCTTCCAGGGCAGCCCAGGGCCACTTTAGAAATTTGTGAAGTGGCTCTCTTTTAAAAATTATTGCCCACCCCGTTCTATGATCTGTCATAGACCAGGCACTAGCCTGCTATGTGCTTTATACACAGGAGGTTGTGGTTGAATCGTGCTGACACTACCTAAATTTGTTGTCATGCACTGTGCATGAAATTGAAATATTAGAAATCTGAGCAATCCTGGGGTGAAATTATTTTCTTGCTTCCATGATTCCAAGAGATACATATTTTGCCAACAGTATTTGTTTTTATTCCCCTCATTCCCAACAAGAAATTTTAAAGCCTCTCACACCATCACGCAAAATCTACCAAAAACCTGGATACTTTGAAGGTTCCCACTGCTACTCACTGGGGAAAAAAATTATGCACACATAGATGTGGGTCATGTTTACTAGCACAAAGAAAGACATTTCATAGAATACTGTTAGATGAAAGCCCCTTCACCACATTTTGGTATCAGAATTATCTAAATACATTTTGAGTCTAGAGCTAAGATAAAATGCCATTTAAATCTGAGAATATTAGAAAGTGACAGAAAACTATGCCAAAATAAAGCCAAATGTCAGGATTTCTAATAAATAATCAATGTTATTAGATAATCTACCATAATCTAATGCAAGGTAACTTTTTAACGTGCTTTGTTGAAAATGACCACACTGCACCTGTAAGACAGAGGGGAAAGCAGAGGAAGAGGAGAATTTGCCAAAAGTTTGTGAATGGGTTTGCCAGTCCGCGATATTAAAAAAGGTTTGCAACCACTGGACTGTGGTACCTGGACCGAAAACAGGGAGAGGAGCTGGTGGGAAACCGAATGAACACATAGTAACCCACATTGTGCACTTAGCTGCAGAGTTCTGGCCTGAATAAAAGCAATGTCAGTTGTCTCCTGTCCTGTTAGTATATAGCTAGACAATATAAGTAACAAACTGTTTATAATGCCCAACAAAATGTAAGTTTAAAATGCAGCAATCACTACCTCCGGGTGATCTGGTGCAATAAGGCATGCTCTTAAAGCTCAACTTACAAAAAAAGCTGTTTGTAATCGTTTATGTTCAGTCATTAAATGCCACAGACAAGAAAGAGCACATCATAGGAGTTCTTAAGTTCTTCTACTCTACCTAAAAGAACCCTCGAACTTGACACACCTAGCATTTAATTTCTGCCATCCCATGGTAACAGTCTCTGCCAAAACGGAAGTTATAAATAATGTAGGTTTTACATAGTAGGTACAAACATCTGAAATTGTTTTTAAAGAAAGACGCTTATTTACCCAAACTATAAAGAACCAATCAATATTCTGCGTAATGATTTACACTTAATATGCTATAAACTATTTAAATATACACTACATCCATGAAAAGACAGTGTATCAAAGCTCCAAGGAAACAATCAGAGGTGCACAGAAGTTGTCTCACTGGAAAAAACCTAAAAGCTTGGAGAAACACCAATACAACTCATATCCAGTTTCCATCAAATTCATCCCATCACATGATCAGTAAGGTAGCTATAGCTGGTTCAGCTAATCGTAGTAAGTCAGTGGTGGTTTTAGAAAAGACTCCATGTAAAAATATTAGCACTTCATTTGCCCCCATTTTAGCCAGGGGAACTTGTTCTCTTTTGACAGTATGTTTAGAAATTGTTATCAGTTGACAGATGACTTGTCTATGTATTATAAGCATTTTGTATTTACACTCTCAAGAAATTCCCATCTGATTTCAAGCAATCAAAGCTGGAAAAACACCTGAAAGAGAATATTAATATAATACAATTCTAGCTGCTTGAATTTACCACCAACAACAAAATCACTGATGCTGGAGCTTTACCACATACTCTGACAGCATCAGGATAGTGTTGCCAGAAATAAACATTTGCAATGACAGTCTTGCAGATCCACAGGCAGCTATCTACCAAACTTAGCTACATTTTGGAAAAAAACCCCTCTGTTTAGAAATTGCAAAACCATTATTTCTCATGTTCTTTAGACTGGTAATACTATTAAAAGTCATTATTCAAAACTGTTCAGTACAGATTAAAAGAAAAGCTTTCTACTTGACAAGGAATCCTGGAGGAAGTAACAGCCTTCACCTAAACCCCTAAATTGAGAATTCTAGTTTTTAATATTCCAGACCCTTCTCTAAAACAAAACTTTTCTTAGCTGAGGAATGGGATGCATTTTGGAGCTTATCAACACTGTCTTTAACTTGCTGGAGGAATTATTGTGGTGCATGGTACTCTCAGCTCCTGGGATAGAAAGACTGAGCCCAGAAGTCACACAATTCTCCTGCAGCTTCATAGAGTCAAGTTAAATGCCCCCATCACTGTCAGTTGGGGATGAGATGCATTTATTTCCTTCAGTCTTCACTAAAAAAGTTAATTGTAACTCAAAAAGGGGAAAGGAACAAGCCAGAACTGAGAAATAACAGGCTAAGTAAGAATTGATAAGTAATATGTCTTCAAGTCAGCAGGACATGGTGAAAGTAATCTTACAATATTGAAGGAAGTAGCAGAAGCAATCTCAGAACTGTTAGCAATTATCTTCAAGAACTTGAAGGTCACAGTGTATTAGAGTAAGGCAAATACAGTACCAATCTTTAAAAAGGAGAACAAAGAGGACCAAAGATTAGAAACCAGTCAGCCTAAATCAGTGTCTTTCAAACTAGGGGTCGGACCCAGTACTGGGTTGTGGAGTGTCAGGTACTGGGTCTCATTGCTTCAGGGTAATCAGGTAACCATTGGGATGGCTAAGGCAAGCTTCCTCCCCATCCTGGCACTGCAGGCTGTGCTGCGCCGTGCCACAGAAGAGGCCAGTAGCAGCCCCGGCTCCTAGGAGGGAGGAGAGCACATAAGACTCTGCACACTGCCCCTGCCCTGAGCACTAGCTCCACACTCACTGGCAAGGAACCTGCTGCTGGCTGCTTCTGTGGTGCAGCATAGTCTGCAATGCCGGGACAGGCAGAAAACCTGCTTTAACACCTCAGTGCATCACTGACTGGGAGCTGTTCAAGATAAGCCCCTCCTGTCCCAGCCCTGACCCTCCCCCTAAGCCAGAGCCTCCTCCTACAGCCCAAAGCTCTCATAGAATCATAGAATACTAGAACCGGAAGGGACCTCGAGAGGTCGTCATGGCAGGATCAAGCACCATCTAGATAATCCCTCAGACATCTATCTAACCTGCTCTTAAATATCTCCAGTCATGGGGATTCCACAACCTCCCTAGGCAATTTATTCCAGTGTTTAACCACCCTGACAGCAAGTTTTTCCTAATATCCAATCTAAACCTCCTGGCCCTGTCCAAAAGGTGCTTACCATAGGTAGCTCCCAGCCAGTGGTGCATTGGGATACTCAGGCAGGCTACCAGCATGATGGCCACTCAAAGCAGTTGGCTGATGGTGGTGAATGCCTCTGTGCACCTCTCGGGGGGAGGTGGGACAGTGTGTGTCTATGCACTGCCTGCAAACATCACCACTGCAGGTCTCAGGCCAATGGGAGCTATGAGGATGGTTCAGTGGTCAGGGTGCAGTGTGTGGGCCCTCTTCTTCCCAAGGGCCAAAAGCATTCTTGTTTGTGGTAGTCGGCCACTTCTGGGAGTGGCATCGTTGGGGCTGCCACAGGAAGGCAGCCAGCCTGCCTGCCTGCGTGCCCTGCTGTACCATGGGACTGACTGGGTACGTCTGACTGGGAAGATATTTCAAGTAGATACTCACAGGAGTCTGTTCTGGGTCTGGTATTACTGAATATTTTCATTTGTGACTTGGATAACAGATAACATTTGTGAATCCCACCAAGCTGGGAGCAGTCACAAGG